TGATTCTTATTGTGAGTATCTCCTTATACTCATCTTGATTTTATGCCTTAACCAAGATATAAGTAATCATTAAAAGCAAAGCTTATCCTTATACCCCTGCAGACAACATATGTTGCAGATATCACTCTCACCATAGGAATGGGTAGGAATTTTAATCCCTTGGTGATTTCTGGCGAGCCATACATAACTTAGTTGTCCCTTTGAACTTAGTTCTTGGGATCTCCAGTCATATAAGTAGGGTTACCATTATGACGACTCTTATTTATTAACAGCCTCTTTCCACAAAGGTGCTTCAGGACTTGTCATTGCCGCCTTAAAGCTTTGAGGTTCATTTTTTAACAGGTATGTCAGAAAATCTGGACCAAAGGATTTTGATGTTCTCGCTCCTTTACTTCGTCTTGGTTCATCATCAGTTAAATCCTGTTGGTCGAGACTATTACTAGTCTCTTGTGTTTGATTGTCATTAGTCTCTTGACTTTGTGTACAATCATAAGTTCTTTTCTGTGAACTTAATTCCTGTCATTTTTTGTAAGGAAAAGACATGTTCAAAACACACAGCATTCCTTGACTCTATAATAGTGTTCACATTTATATCAGGTATTTTTGATTTATAAGTCAGAAACCGATATGCACTACTATCCTGAGTATAACCAATAAACACACAGTCTACTGTTTTTGGTCCAATCTTAGTCTTTTTAGGAACAGGAACTTCAACTTTTGCCAAACACCCCCATACTTTTAAGTATTTGTAGGAAGGTGGTCGACTCTTCCACAATTCATAAGGAATGCTTTTGGTTTTCTTGTGGGGTATTCTATTAAGAACATAATTAGCAGACAATATTGCTTCCCTCCACAAGTTCTGTGGTAAGCCTGAACTTAGTAACATGGCATTCATCATTTCTTTTAGGGTTCTATTCTTCCTTTCAGCAATTTCATTTTGCTGTGGAGAATAATGTGCTGTAGTTTGGTGAATAATGCCATGTTGTGCACAAAATTCATTTAATGGTGCATCATATTCACCACCCCTATCACTTTTAACCATTTTAATGGTTTTACCAAGTTGATTTTCAACTTCTATTTTGTAGAGTTTAAACATTTCTAAGGCTGCATCTTTACTTCTAAATAAATAAACATAACAATATCTTGTGCAATCATCGATAAAAGTTATGAAATACTTTTTGCCTCCTTTAGTTTGAATAAATTTTAAATCACATACATCAGTATGAATTAATTCTAGAGGTTCGGTCTTCCTTTTAACCGATTTAAATGGAGCCTTAGTTAGTTTCGCTTCTACACAAACTTCACATTTATGATTAGGATTAATTTCAAACTTTGGTATATAATCCAAACCAATTAATCTACGCAAAGCATCATAATTTACATGTCTTAATCTACTATGTCATAAATTCGACTTAAGAATATAAGCAAAAGATGTGTTATTCTTATTCATAGCAACTTTCGGTACAACTGTCATTACATTCAATTTAAAGAGACCATGACTCATGTATCCCTTACCAACATATATACCACTCTTTGTTAATACAAATTTATCAGGCTCAAATACAAGCCTAAAACCATTTTTACTTAACAAAGAATCAGAAACTAAATTCTTCCGGATGTCAGGTACATGCAGTACGTTGTTGAGGGTCAGTTCTTTCCCTGATATCATCTTCAAGATTACTTTTCCTTGTCCAGCCACAGTAGAAGTAGAAGAAGAAGAATTTCCCATGAAAAGTTGTTCACCATTTGCAGCCTCATTGTAGGTAGTGAACATCTTCTTGTCCGCACATATGTGACGAGTTGCTCTAGTGTCAACCCACCACTCTTTGGGATTTCCAACCAAGTTAGCCTCAGACACCACAGCAGAGAGGTTGATGTCATTCACTCCGTCAGAGATGTAATCTAATTCAGTTACATTGGCTTGATTGGTGGTCTTCTTGCTTGTACTTCCATGATCCTTCTTAGGCCGGCGGCAGTCAGAAGCTTGGTGTCCAGTCTTGCCACAATTATAGCATTTTCCTTTGAACTTCTTGTTGCCATTATTGTCGCCTTGTTTAGGACCATCTCCAGTAAACTTTCTCTTTTTGTTATGTGGTTTATGAACTTGTTCAACCACATTAGCCTTGGACTCAATGGGATTTTTCCCATTCCTCTTTTCAGCCTTTCGGTTTTCTTCCTCAATTCTTAGTCTTACAATAAGTTTATTTATGATCATCTCTTTGCATTTATGTTTTAAATAATTTTTAAAATCTTTCCAAGTTGGTGGTAACTTTTCCACTAAAGCAGCGACTTGGAAAGACTCGCTAAGAGACATACCTTCTGAATGAATATCATGCAAAATTATCTGAAAACTTTGAACTTGAGATATTACCGTTTGGGAATCTACCATAACAAAATCCAGAAATTTACCAACGACAAATTTCTTCGTGGCGGCATCCTCTGTCTTGTATTTTTTCTCCAAAGAATCCCACAATTCTTTTGCTGACTTCAAAGGACTGTATACATTATATAGCATGTTGTCAAGGCCATTGAGGATGTAGTTTCTGCATAGGAAATCTGAATGTTTCCAAGCATCTACAGCAGCAACAACTTGCCGACTACTTTCACCCTCTTTAAGTGCTGGATCCTCTTCATGGAGAAATCGGGCCAAATTAAGAATTGTAAGATAGAACAACATCTTCTGCTGCCATCTCTTGAACTCGGTACTGTTAAATTTTTCCGGTTTTTCTCTATGATTGATTGGTACATGAATATGGTTCTGGACCGGTGTTGGTATAACAATAGGAGTACCACTACCAGATGCAGTTTCAGTTGCAGTAGCCATAATCTCTGATTACAAAAATCAAAAAAAATTAAAACACAAATTAATTTTCTAGTTACTAAAATTAGAAAATAAATTATAACACAAAATAATTTTATTTTCTTTGTTACTAAAGCTAGAAAAATAAAATATCACAATAATTTTCTGTAACACAAATTAATATTCTGCAATTGTCAATGACACCAGTATATTACTACTAGTTGTCAAAGAAAAGAGACAGTATATTACTACTATCTGTCAAATAGCATAAACCACTATTTGTTTTTCCAACCAGAATATGTCTTATGAAATCACATAAAATTAAATACAATGAAGATACCAAAAACGAATCTGTCTTAAGATTGTAGGACAATTTTCACTGTATTTAAATAAATTAAATTCTGTTGTGTACTAAACAACAACCAAAATATAAAGAAATAAAGGAAATGAGAGAATTTGTTTGATTACAAAAATCAAACTCGAAATAAAAAAAAAAGATTTTATTTTGTTACAAAAACAAAATTAAAATCTGATTTAAATAAATAATAATAACACTGAAAATAAATTAAATAACTTACTTGATTTAATTTCTTCGAATTATAATCTGATCAAGTCCAGTGTTTGACACTGTGTCCTTAAGACAGATTCGTCCTCTCCACGGTGCTTTCAGAATTTGGACGTCTATCTCCCAGGATGAAATGATCTACTACAAACAATAGCAGCACTACAAATTGTTTGCCATACGAACACACTAAGTGTTTATACTCTCTCTGGTGGCTATTGGTTTTGAATTGAACAGGTATGAAACCTGTTGGTTTTGAATGCAAATAGATTTGAATCTGTTGGGTTCATAATTTAAACAGATACAAAAATGGGAAGGGCCCTGTTTGGATGTACGTTAAAAACCAGACTAGTTTATTTCGGGAAGGGCCTAATTTAAATAGATACAAAAATGGGAAGGGCCCTGTTTGGATGTACGTTAAAAACCAGACTAGTTTAATCTGTTGGGTTCATAATTTAAACAGATACAAAAATGGGAAGGGCCCTGTTTGGATGTACGTTAAAAACCAGACTAGTTTATTTCGGGAAGGGCCTAATTTAAATAGATACAAAAATGGGAAGGGCCCTGTTTGGATGTACGTTAAAAACCAGACTAGTTTATTTCAGGAAGGGCCCTGTTTGGATGTACAGTAAAACCAAACCAGTTTATTTCCAGTTTAATTTGAATTCTGGATTTTATTTTATACAAAACAAAATTAAATTCAAATATTTTTGGACAAAAAAAATTGGTATTGGGCCGAACAAGCCCAACCCAACCTCGCACCACGCACCACGCACCACGCACCCTCGCTCAAGCCCGGATGGCGGCGCGCGCGTGTGTGGTGATTTTTGGGACCAATGGGTCTAGCCCATTTTGCCCATAATCTCTTCCTCTAAAACACTTGGGTATCCATTGGGGCACACCCCAAGTACCAAACCCAAGCCTTATAAACCAATTCAAAACTTTCCACCAAATCAATGTGGGACAAGCCATTTTACAACCTTAAGGAATTTTCACCAAAACTCTATTTTTATGGAACACACTTTGGCTTCAATTTCTCATTCACTCGGTAATGGTTTTGAGTAACCAAATATACCACGTGAATCACAACGCGGCATAGAACGCGTTACCACTTTGACCTGTGAAAATCGACGCACGGGGCCCACCTAAAAAATAGACCAAACTTAGGAAAAAAATTCTGATTTTATCCAAAATTTTATAACCATTTCCAACCAAGTTTTGAAGTGGTTATACGAGAGGACATTTGGGGAACATTCAGTAATGACAATAAATAGTGATTTGATAAAAGACACATTAATTTTCAGTTTGATAAAAAAAATGAAAATTTCAATTTGATACATATTTGATGCAACCATTAAAGGGGGAAATTTTTTTTTATTAAATTTAAATTTAATGAGAGATTTACCATTGTAGATGATTTTAATCCTGCCTTAGCATAGATTGTCAGACATTATTAGACACTACAAAGATGACGCCCAAAACGGTTTCAGAATGTTCTCTGCATGTGCACAACCATCGACTCGACCTAGATTGTGATTTTAACAACATGCAACCTCATATGGGAGCTCCACGTGTCATCCACACGATCTAATCTACGGTCCAAAATAGGTCTGTGACCACAAAAGGTCAACAGGCGGACTAGCACTCTTGGTTTTTCCCTACGATTCAGCCCCATTTTCGTCGTGACCACCAGACAGACAGAAACCCCCTCCTAATTTTCTCTTTTCCCAAACGCGATTAACAGATTTACATCTCTCTCATATCTGCAAATATGAGCAAGGGACCAGGACTTTTCTCTGATATTGGCAAGAAAGCCAAAGGTAAATCAATGTTGATTGTCGTCTAATCTCTCTTTCTCTCTCTACCAGATTCTCTGATTGTAGTATCTCTTTTTCGTATGTGTTGTATTGAATTTGTTGAATTTTGTTTGTTGTATCGCTTGAATGTAGATCTGCTGACGAAGGACTATGTCTCCGATCAGAAAATCACCGTCTCGACTTACAGTGACACCGGTGTGGTATGAATTCATTACTTTTATCATTCTTTAAACCACACGAATTGGATAATTTAATTTCTTTTTCGTATCATTACTTTCGATGATTACACTGTTTCGAGTGAACTGCACTTGAATAATCTGTATGCCATGGCTTTTGGATTTTGGTTTCGTGGATTTGTGATGCGAAAAACAGTAATATTCATCATCTATGTGATTTTATGGCGTTGTTCTGTATGATGAAAGCACAATTACTACCATTTTCCCGCTATTTTTACCTTGTTTTTAGCTCAAGAGTCCATGATCTTTGTGCAGATTAGGCTTTCTTCCACTATTGTATATGTTTAATCTTGATCTGGTTTGTGCTATACTGCATTTTTTGATTAAATAGAGTTATACTTATTAAAATTGAGCTAAAATTAGTGTAGCTTTGTTGTGATAGAGTGGAATGCATGCCTCACTTCCTTTACTTGTATATTCTTATCTATGGCCATGGCTAAAAAATTTTTACTTTTTTATTTTTAAATTTTTTGGGGTAATAAAGAGAGCTTCATCTATCTATACTAATATCTATGTGAAGGCTAGAGTTGGTGTTCACATCTCATTTTTCTTTTTCCTCCAAAATACCCATATAGTAGTTACATTGGTAGTTTTGTCCCAAATTCAAGGTTTTTTTTATATTTATTTTTTTCCCAAAGTTCTCAACTTTTGTTTTTTTCAAATTATTTCAATTTCATATTTTGAATTCAATCATACGAAATGATCACTTGGTAGTTATGTCCTATCTTATTTGCCTAAAACAAAATGATCATATGCGCATGCATTGCGTGTGTCGTGACTTCTAGTTAAAATGAAGCATACATATAGTCACTTGTGTAATCTAATCTTCGGCTAAACTATTGCAGTTTTTTGCTTTAGTTTCAAATAGAGTTCTCTAATCTGGTAGCTAGCATCTTAATATCAAATAATGGCATGGCTACATTGTGAACCATAATCAAGGATCAAAATTTTGTTTCTATGTGCTATTTTTGGTTAGGTCAGTAATGGAAACATTTTAGAAATGTTTTGGAAATATGATGGAAGCATAAGGAAACATTGAATCATGAAGAAAAGTCTATCCATGTGTATTCCTGAGGCTAAAAGTGTAACCAAACAATAGTTAGGAAATTAATTTTAGTAATGATCTAAGTTAAACTGTAGTGATTTCATTGTTCATTACAAGTAATTGAGTTTGAGAATTAAGTTTTGTTTTCTTATAAAATTCATATTGACCTAATGTTGATATTACATGATTATAAGATAATTTGAGGGTTTGTGTTTCTTTTAGGCTCCGTTTGGCAAGAGTTTTTTTGGCTATTTTAGGCACAAAAGAAAAAATAGGCTATTTTAGCCACAACAAACAAAACATCACATCCATCCCATAATCATTACACTCTTCTCTCACAAAAAAATCAAAAAAGTCAAAAAGCCAAAAAGCCCTTCCCAAACCAAGCTTTTTAGCCTAGGCTAAAATAGCCAAAAAAGTCAAAAAGCCAAAAAATCAACCCACTTCCCAAACGGAGGCTTAATGCATTAGTAATCAAGTAAGGATGTAGAAATTTTGGCCTAAGTTAATTATAGATAATAATAAAAGGAGGGAGCCATATGGTTTTGGGCCTTTTGGCCTACATACGGCAGTCTTTGTTTTAAAATGTCATGTGTTCTAGTAAAATTTAAAAGGGAGTGAAACTGACTGTAATTTGATGTTGTTTTTTTTCTTTCTCCTTTTCTCTTTCCAGGGAATTTTTCTTGTTATTCCTGTTGGTATTATGTTTTCCTTTTGGAATGTTCCATGAGGTATCTTGATATGTGTTAGTTTAAAAAAAATAAAAAAATCTTTGGATGCAATGTCGTGTATGTAACTTCAAGGTTGGTATTTAAAATTGTGTTTTTAGGATGTTTTGAGAACTGAACTGGTTTCATATTCTTTTTGCAGTGATTAGTTTTGATTGAAGTATAGTTTTCTGTATTGGTGAATAATTGACCTTATAAACCTTGGATTTTAATAAGGATTCACTTGATAAATGCATTACTGGTTTTTGGTAAATGCTCCTAATTCAATATAAATCAAACGACCTTGGGTTATAATCAGTTTTGAGTTGATTAGTCTTATCTGTTCTCAACATATCCTAGACACCTAGACGTAATTAGTCATCAATGGCTAATATGGAACCCTTACCAGATTTATTGATTTTGGTTTTTCTTGTGCTATTTTTTTTTTTTGAAAATACCATTTCATGGTTCTCTCTCTCTAAATATTTTCCACCTCAATTTTTAGTAGTTAGAATTGTCATTTTCTTTTTTATTATTTATGTATTTATTTGTTGTTCCTTCCATCCCAGGCCATCACATCAACTGCAGTGAAGAAAGGAGGACTATCTACTGGGGATGTGGGAGCACAATACAAATTCAAGAACACTCTAATTGATGTCAAAGTTGATACGGAAGCAAATGTGGGTTGTTTAATACCTTGGTCTTCTAAAGTCAACCTTTAATACACTTGCTTTCCGTGAGTGTAAAAATTTATGTATTATTGATTGATGTTTATTGATGTTCATTACAATGATTCATGATTCCTATATATAGAAGAGGGTGAGTGTGTAGTAGGTAAGGAGTAGGTGAAGTGGAGGTGGTAGTGGTGTAGTGGGTTAGGTTTAGTGGAGTAGGTGAGGTGGTAGTGGTGTAGTGGGTTAGGTTTAGTGGAGTAGGTTTAAGTGGGTGTAGTGGGTTAGGTTTAGTGGAGTAGGTTCAAGTGGGTGAAGTAGGTGATAAATTTTAACAGTGAGCATGTTCTCTTATGACTCTGTTTTGACAGATCTCAACAACTTTAATTATCACTGATATTGTCCCATCTACAAAGACTATTGCTTCATTCAAACTGCCTGACTACAGCTCCGGCAAGGTACATATCTAATGGCAACTCCTAAACCCTGGTCTGTTTGGTTTGGTTTGGTTTGGTTCTCGTAATCAGTTTTCTGAAAATGTTCTGAAAAACCAAAAATTAATTTGGTGTAAAAAATGAAAAAATAAAAAATTATCATCATTTTCACATGGTTGTCTTTTGGGGGGCAGAAATAATTTTTAAAATTTTGAAAATATCTTTTAGTTGTTTATTTTTAATCAAACTAATTTCTATTTTTCAAAAATATTTCTGAAAACAGATTCTGAAAATGAAACCAAACAATATATATATATATATATATATTTTTTGGGGATAATAGAAAATAGAAGACAAAAACGAAACCAGGTGCGCTAGCTATTGATAAATATAGCATTTCAATTTCTTAAACCTTGCATGTGTTCTCTTTTGCAGCTAGAGGTACAGTACTTGCACCACCATGCAACCTTCACTACAGCTGTTGCTCTGAACCAACCCCCTACGGTTGATCTTACAGCAACCGTTGGTACTCCAACCATTGCTTTTGGTGCCGAGGCTGGTTATGAGACCGCTTCTGGTAAATTTACGAAGTATACAGCTGGCATTAGTGTGACAAAACCAGACTCGTGTGCTTCAATACTTCTGTAAGTCACCACGCTCGCTATAAAAGGATGATAGTTTTTTAACGGGGATAGATAATGAATGAAATTGTGCATAAATTCTAATGTTTGGTTGCTATCTGTTTTCCCTAGAGGCGATAAAGGAGACACCATAAGGGCATCATATGTGCACAATTTTGATCAATTAAAGATGAGTGCTGCTGTTGGAGAGATCACTAGAAGGTTTTCCACGAATGAGAACACATTTACTGTTGGAGGATCTTATGCAGTCGATAACCTGACAGTGGTCAAAGCAAAGCTCAACAATCATGGGAAGCTCGGGACCGTCTTGCAGCACGAACTCATACCAAAATCGCTTCTGACCATCTCGAGTGAGTTCGACACCAAGGCCTTGGACAAAACACCCAGGTTTGGCTTGGCTCTTGCTCTCAAGCCTTGAAGTTTTTGTCTGCTTGTCAATGATGATATCTTGTTGAAATTCGATATTCCTCCTGATTTTTTTTGGGTAGCGCTTGGAAGGAGCGCTTCAATAAGTAGTACCACAGATATATTTGTTTTAGGTTCTCAATGACTTTGGATGGCTTGCTTTGATACTTGACGTTTCCATGGTCTTTTTTTCTCTCTTGTATTTGTTCTATTTTTCTTTTCTAAGCATTTTGACATTTGCACATTTATTCTCTTGACATGCAAGAGCTTTTGTTGGGATTGACACTAAAGAAGTTAAATTGCTTGCTTGTTCCTTCTTATGACTTGTTTTGAGGAAGTTTGATTTGTTCACAAGAGAGGCTAGTCATCCCGAGTGACTTGCCACTTGACAGATTCTTGTGTATATGTTTCACAATTCCCGTGTACATGTTTTGCCTTGGAGTAGGGTGTTATTTTCGCTGATTTTTTCATGTTCCATTGGAGCTGCTGAGCTCAAAGTTTGCAGCTATTATAGTTGTTGGATATTAAATTTGTTATTAACTGTAATGTGTTCTTGAGAGAGAGAGAGAGAGAGAGAGAGAGAGAGAGGGGGTTTGATTTCATGATCATTCATAATTTGTACATGGGATTGAGTCTGTTTTTTTTTAGAGCAAATTAAACGACTACCAACTGTAGCACAAATAATATTGGAACACTATAAAGGAAGAGATGTTTGATTCAAATCCATTGATAACTCCTTATTTGTCGTTTGTTTTTTTTTTAGTCCTCCGAACATGGAGTCCGGCCCACTCCTTATCCCCCATGTGGGAGACTATTGTATCGGGGGGGGGTATGTGACAATTTTTGGGGGACTATCCACTGTTGGAATTAAGTGGTAAAATGATTATTTTGACCTTTTACTATTTAATTATGTATTATATTTAATAAAATTTAATAAAATTTAAATGTCTCAATTTAAAAATAAAATAATTTTATTTAACTTTTTTAATTAAATGTCAGAGGGCAAAAATGTAATTTTAGTTGCTAATCCCATGGGATGAGTTATCCCATGGTTTTTATCTTACCCCCCCATGGGATAGCATAGTCTCACAAATATGAGACTAATAGTCCGGCGGTATTATTAGTCCGGACCAAATAATTCATACCAAACAACGGATTATTAGTCCAATCCCAGGGTGGTATCCTTCAAAATAAACATGACTTTAGGGTGTGTTTGATTGGACAAACTGGATAAGGAGGATTAAAATTCATCGGACTTGAATTCTGGAACTGTGAATCGCCCAGACTATTTGGTTGGATTGGATGTGTATCCCGTATTTGTTTTTCATGGGTTTAGATGTCTGGAAATGACTATTTTTAATAAATTCAATGTTTGGTTGGACGGACTGGATAAGATAAATGAACAAAAGACTATTTTACCCTTTTTCAATTGTTTACTAAGTAATAACAATATTAAACATATCTTTAATATTTTAATTATTTTTAATTAAATAAATTTTTTTTTTAAATTAAATAAATAAATAAATAAAATATCAATAAAATTTGTTTTAAATCATTACTGTATAACAAATCATTATTTTTTTTTACATACAAAACTTTACTGTGTTTGTTTATTTACACAATTAAATAATTTACTGTGTTTGTTTATTTACACAATTAAATAATTTACTGTGTTTGTTTATTTACACAATTAAATAATTTACTGTGTTTGTTTATTTACACAATTAAATAATTTACTGTGTTTGTTTATTTACACAATTAAATAATTTACTGTGTTTGTTTATTTACACAATTAAATAATTTACTGTGTTTGTTTATTTACACAATTAAATAAATTTATTTTTTTACACAATTAAATAAATAAATAACCACTAAATTTGTTTATATTATTTTTTAATTAAAATTTTAAATAAAACACCTATTAAAATTTAAATAATGAAATTAAATAAATTATAAACAAAATTTTAAAATAAAACATCAATAAAATATCTATAAAAAATTATTTTAAAAAATTAAACAAATAAAACATCAATAAAAGGTTAAACAAAATTATTTTATTTTCAAATTGAAACATTTAAATTTTGATGAATTTTACTAAATATAATACATAATTAAATAATAGAGGGTCAAATGGTCATTTCATTACCTAATCCCAACAGTGGATAGTCCCCTGAAAATTATCCCATACCCCCAGGATACAATAGTCTCCCATATGGGGATAAAGAGTCCGGCCGAACTCCATGTCCGACAAATTAAAAAAAAAAAAAAAACCGAATAAAGAGCTTCCCTCGAACAGTTTTGATTTGTAAGCCCAAGATCTAAAATAAAAAATGACTATCTAGTATTCAGCTATATGGTCTTGTAATCTCTGAAGTGTTCACAAAAGTGTGTTTTTCATATTTATATATAAACACTAACTAATTATTGGGATAATTACAAATATACTTTTTGAAATTTGTTTAAAATATGAATTGCTTTATGACTTAAAAAATTACCAATATTCATTTGTCAAAATTTTTTATTTAACAAAATTAATTGAAAAAAAAATCCTAACTACTCTTATATACAATAATAAAATTACTTAAATTATTAATTAAAATAAATTTATAATATTATTAATAATTGTTAATTGACTTGATGATTTATTATTAAAAATGACTATTTGTTATAAAATTGAAAACTTCAAAATGCGAGTTATAATTTCTAAAACTATAAGGGGCAATTTGTATTTTAAAAAAAAATTAAAGAATGTATTTGTAATTGACCCTAAAAATTATTACTTACATTAAATTTTGAAGTAATCCCTTGTAATATTTATGTTAAATTTTTAATGCAAGTAATCTCAAAATTTCTATTATGTGCTATATCTATGTTTTACTTACATAATTTTAATTTGGGAAAATTATACTCACCTCCTATGATGTTTAAAGAAAATACATTTAGTTTAATATTTTTGACATAATTACACTAGCTATCCCTTTTTTAGATTGGGAAGAAAATCATCATTGCAAAATCAATAAAAGATCAAATCAATCTAGTATAGCGGTATCACAGTATCTCAAAAAGAGGTTAACAACCTCCATAGAATGAAGGATTCAAACCTCCATAGGCAAGAAGAAAAAGTCCCACAAGGGAGGGAAATTAACCAAGAATTATTACATCAAGAAAACCAGAAAGAAAAAAAATACTAAATTCATTCAAAACTCCACTACTCCACAATCTTCAACTTGGAGTCTAAAGATCCCACCTCTGCTGATCAGAATAAAACATTGAAGTTGAAATAGTTGCCTAGCTTAAAACAAACGCGTTAACTTGTGTCGGCTTTTGAATTGTAAGAAGATCTGAAACTAAATCTTAAATTTTGAACTTGAGGGTGGAAAGATAAAATGGTGATAGTCATACTGATGAGTCAAATATCATGTTTGAATTAAGGACCAAATTTGGAGATATATTAGAAGATAGAAGGGAGAGAAGAAGGAGATCAAAGACATGGGGAACTACTATCGTTTCCCTCCACTGATACGTAATTCCAAATAGAAAAGTAAGAGAGATTTTTTTGGGGGAAATGTTTTTTACACTATCCTTCCTTAAAAGACATAATAATTAGGTATTTTTTTTTATCAATAATTCGTTAGTTATATGATTAAAAAAATAATAACATGTATATTTAACTTAATTTATTTTAGTATCTACATATTGCTGAATATATTTTCTTTAAACCTCCTGAGAGATAAACATAATTTACCCTAATTATTTTTAGCACCAAAATACCCTATATGTGTATATATATATATTTTCCCTTCTAAATATTACACCTCATAAATTACAGTCGGGATTTGTCTTTGTACTTCCATATATTTTAGCAAACACAACTTACAAAATTAGATGTCCCATTGACACGGGCAATGTACTGCCAAACCGAGACAAAAATAGAAAAAAAAAAAAAAACCTATATGGAGGAAGAGAAGAATAATACTAGATGTACTAATTAATGTATACGTTAGTGTATTAACAGATGATGTGACATCATTTGTATAGTTTTGGATATTTATAACTTGTATAATAAATGTGATCAATAATAATATCATAACACTAGTTGGTATACTAATTGGTGCATATAATATCATCGGGAAGAGAATATGGGTCACGGAAAAAAAAAAATACTATCATGCATTAGATAGCACAGAACTAAGCTCCAAACCCAACTAGCAGAATTATTGGCATATTTATAGAACGTTTTTGATTCCCTCGAAGCCATTCTCGTTCTGCTATTTTGTAGAAACTAGTTGGACCCTGGCGTTATCATTAGCTGAAAATAATATCTTAACAATATGATGAACTGATAAAAAAATGTTTTGAGAAATACTTGGAATTCAAAATATGCTGGCCACAGTCAAGCAACTGACCAGCTTACTTGAATTAAGAGCCTGATATTATGGAAAGAAGGGTAAACTGGCATCAAATTAATAAATCATAAGACATTTATACTTTAGTGGAATGAGCTAATAGCAAATTTCACCGTCTTAGCATGCATTACTGTGAAACTAACAAGGCTGTTTGAATCTAAAATTGATAAAAATATCCAACACCACCACAAAAGGAAATAATGACATTTTCTGTATATGGAGAAAATGCAACTTCAGAACTAACAATTATGGCCTCTGATAACAGAATGATATCTACAAATGTAAGGAACATAAATTAAACAAGTAGAAGTTAGAACTCCAACATACATATCAAGTCATATCTGTACATTGCATAAACTTTTATGTGTACCCCATGAATGATTTGCTTCATTAAAGTTAGTAGTAAACGAAGAACATAACTACATGATTTGCCTTGTTGGGGGTGTTTCACTTCTTTATCAGTTAATTGGTCTGCATTGCATATGTGCAATAAATATTTTCTACAGTCAATGATAAAATCATAGTCTGTCAAAAAATTTATCAACTTTAATCACTCATGTGGGTGAAGAGAAATAAAATGGAAATATTGTAACATGTCGGAGTACAGACTTCAAAACAATTTAAGATTTAGAAATCAGTTATCAGGAGGGACACATATTTGCTTCTTGTAGTCAAGTCAAAGCACTTGCAACAGTCGATATTATAACATTAGATGCCTATATGTTTCCTATAACAAATTTAACAAATCAACAATATTATATAACCAGAAAATTTCAGAAAGTTAAATCTATGGAACACAAGATTTTGGGTGTGACTCAAATTTCACCAACTTCGAATTTATACCATACCCCTCACTTTTAGGATAGTTTTCTGTGCAAAAATTCATGACAGATAGCATTTTCCTTAACGAGTGATATGCAATGCAAAACTATAAACTGCCTTAATTTTATAGGCACATTGCAGACCTTCAAGATAAAATAAATCTAACATGAAAAATAAGTGAAGCCCA